GTCAAAGCCCAGAGACGACCCATTTTTGACAAGGCCGAAAACTTAGACAAACAAACAAAATACCAATAAATAAATGGTTGCGCCTGCATGTTGCCTACGTATCCCTTTGCAAGAAATCAAACCAGCGTAGTTCAGGGGCAGGATGCAAATGATATGCAGGAAGACTTTGATAATTGGACTTATACGCTACGTGAAGCCGGTTTGAAAATTGGACTTATACGCTGCGCAAAACCGGTTTGATAATTCCGGATTTATGTAATGCAATGTAATGAAACAATGCAAATGATATGCAATGTAATTGAATCATGACCAAACCACAAGCAGTTACAAAACCACACAAATATCATAAAGGGATGGAGATGCAGAATCAAACTACTTTTAACATAGAAATGGTGTCGTCACCCTCAAACCACAATTCCTTCAGTGGAATAGACGCGTACACAAAATCTCATAACTATGTGTTTCGTAAAGAGACCACAGAATACAAGTAATTGGGTGGCATGATATATAAATAAGGAATGATTTGCTGAGGAAAGATCGTGATCCTAAATGCTGGATGCAACAAACTAAAATACGATGTAATAGATGCAACGGATGAAGTGAATAAGGCACGCGACCAAAACATATCTTGCCTAGGAAAGGCATGGACACAAACAAATCACGTTTAACACGGAAACGGTGTCGTCACCCTCAACACTAGGTGCGTACACATAATATCATAACCGTGCTTTTACGCGAAAAGTATGGGCACATACCAGACCAAGCTCAACATGGAAAGGCGCAAGCCATAGATGGGTAATGCAGTAAATGCATGCAAACTACAATGCAATATATACAATGAATGCATGTAATGTATGCAATGTACAATGCAATAGACATACTAGATGATGCAGTAGTTAGGAAGTGAAGGTACCTTACAGGGGCAATTGGCAATGACCTACCTCATGCTGCTGGGGATTTTTCGTTTCTTCTTGGTTGAACCATAGGTACTACTTTTCTCCCTGACTATAGTCGCAGCTTTCTCTATTCTCCAACAGGGTGACAGACTAGGTTGATTTAGTATCCAGAATTGAGGCGCATACACATGCTATCTCAATCTATGGGGCTACTATACAGATTTCAAGCCGAGGATATACCCCTGGGTATTTAAACCAGACTTTGGTCTCGGAAATCCTGAACCTTTGCGTTCTAGGCATGAGCCATTTGAACTCTAGTTTCCACCGTCTGAGTTGGTCTCCTAGGAACTCACCGCAAACACAGGCAGGTGGCTATACCAGACCACTGGAAGTCGTTCGGGCATGAAAAACACCAAAGGAATTGCACCTTTAGAGGATTTAAGGTCTCCTAGACCACAGGAATGCACAAAATAATGCTAAGAAGATGGGTGCGCAAGACAGCGTGAGCAATGCAACGCACTAACAAGTGCAGGTAAGATGCGCGATAAATACAATGCACAAAACAGTGCGATGCGCTAAACAGCGCGATTGAAATGTAGTGCACAAAACAGTGCGATGCGCAAGAAAGTGTGAGTGCACAATATAGTGCGATGCGCTAAACAGCGCGATGCATTAGACCATGCGAGTGCACAAGACAGTGCGATACGCTAAACAGCACAATGCGTTAGACAACGCGAGTGCACAAGATAGTGCGATGCGCTAAACAACGCGAGTGCACAAAACAGTGCGATGCGCTAAACAGCGCGATGTGTTAGACAACGCGAGTGCAAAAGACAGTGCGATGCGCTAAACAGCGCGATGCATTAGACAACGCGAGTGCACAAGACAGTGCGAG